TTTTGGTGCCACTGGTACTGATACATTGCACAAAGTGGACAGAACAATGAAGACTGAGGACAACCTCCAAGTTTTTAACCTTCACCTCAACAACCAAACGGTTAAAACTTAGCAGCAACTGTGTTTTCTAATGGCTAAAGCAGGCTAACATTAAGCTTCTGGACTGGCCTTCCCAAGGGGTTGACCTCAATCCTGCTGAAAAATTTTAGGCCACACTTAAAAGGCAGGTTCATGCAAGGAAATCAGACGATTTAAATGAACTCTTGTGCACCCAGTTCTTGTTTTTAAGGTCATTAAAGATGTATGGTGTTAGATCATACCACCCTGGGAAAAGAGCAGCTCAAAAAAACCAAACAATTAAAAGCTCAAAATTGCCATGACATTCATACCTATTTTATATGAAATCTTCCCAGTAATTATGGTTTTCTCTATCCACATGGTCCCATTATTCACCCACTGTTTACTGAATGATATAAAAGTCACGGTGCAATGTTTTAAAAAAAAAAACAAAAAACCTGTGACAAAGAAGATTTTGAGGTTGCCAGATAATGGTGAGAAATAAACTTCATTGCAGTTCAGTGCTTCACACAGATTATTAACACTAGCAGTAAATACTGGATCTGTCCTATACTACATTAATCCGCCTACAGAAGCTCAATGAAAACAATCCATCAATCTGTCAGGAGAAGCACCTGTGGAGCCAGCATGGAGCAGATCTTGGCAAACAGCACATGACCAGAGAGCGCAAATATGATGTGGTCTCTGAAGGTGGAAAACCACATCAGCCACTCGAAATCTGCAGTTTCCTGTAGACCAGCGAGCACAACAATGTTAGAAATATTAGAAGACTTCTGCAAACAAATGATGACAAATGAGCTGCATTCATTTTCTTACCATTTTCCTCCCAAAGTAGTACCATCCTGGCTTCACGCTGGTTTTGAAAGTCTTTCTGTTTGCACTGGCTAACAATGGGACAATTGGGGAAGGGGGGGGATACAACATTTTATAGTTTTGTACAGAAGCCAAGAGTTTCTGTGCACCATGTTTTCTTTTCTTGCCCTTGAGTGCAAATGACAAACCTTTGCTAGATTGACAGTGAAACAAATGTAGGCCAAACAGAGGGCCTATTTTCTTCTTGTGCTCGGTGGTATTAATACCGACACCTGTTCTCTTCAGCGTGGTCTACATAGCTCAGACTCCTCAACCTTACACTGTGACACTTCCCCCATATGTATACTTCACAGTGTATTGTCTGTACGTGACTGTGCTATAGTCTCAGATGAACTTTGCATTCGAGGAATCTAATGTATGCTGATCAGGAAAAAGAGGAAAATAATTTAGTCAAGCTTTGTTTTAGTCTTTTTTATGATTTAAATTGCAAGATAATTTGTTTATAAAGTATAGATAGTCTAGGATAGAGTCACGGAATTAATATATGATTAGCTAGTGCTTCGTAGGTATTTCTATGCTATAAATATAAATAGATATCCTTTAAACAAAATGGTCTTCTTAGTAGTTTTCTGTCACCTAGTCCTGTGCTGGTTCATCATATTCTGTACACGTTTAGGTGTTGGTCACCTCTGGCTCAAAAATCACATCATTCAAGAAATACATGTGACCAACAAGCAAGCAGAGGGAACTAACCAGGAGCTAGATGCAGGTCTCTGGCGTGTGGTATTGACCAACAGGTCCACCTGGACTTTCCAGTTTACCTGGAAAGAGTACTCACCCAACTCTAACACTACACTGGTCCTTTTGAAGTTGAGGTTCTGATTAACTCTGTGTGTCTGTCTTAAGCTACCCCAGAATATGAGAATCGACAGCATGTGGAACGTTGCACATATTCCAGTCGAAACCCACTTAGTCCAGTCTGTTGTACCCCCCTTCCAACCCCCCTCCAACCATCTGGGTCATTGATGGACAGCTTGCCTACACAGTTAGTAGCATTTTGGATGCTTCTGTGCAGAAACTCTTGAGAGAAATTTGGAAAGTTTGTTTAAAGAGATTCCTGTGGGAAAAATTAAGCTGTGGACTTACCTGTTAACCTGACATCAGACCTCGTTGTGTTAAAGCTTTCAGATACAATTCCTGATATTTCATTGTTGTAAATAAACCTGTGAACTTTTAACTCAGAGTCCTACGTTTGAATCCTGCACCACCAGTTAGGACAGTTTTCATTATAAATGACCAAATATAGTAGGCTTAATATTCGGATACTCTTTTTCTGTGTGCATGTGTGTCAGTGTGTTAACTCATACTCACAACTGGACACCTCAAAGATCCAGCTAGTGGCCCAGAACATGGCCAGACACAAAACAGTGTTGTAGAAATAAATCTCATACTTGGGAAGAGCAGCTTTGAGTCCCATGGCGATGCAGTCAGGATAGCACGGAGCTCCGGAGGCTCCTGAATATAAACCACAGAGAAGTCAGAGTACTCGGCATTTAATCTGTCTGTCACACCTAAAACAGGCGGTGCCAAATAGCATTCCTGAGTTTTCTTATCCTGCCTACAGTAAGACACATATGCCAGAGGTTCGTCCCCTTTCCCCTGATGTTATCTTTTATTTTAGGGATCCTTTGGATCCCACTCACTGTTGTACAGCAGGAAGGGTGGCACATTATTCTTCATGAACAGCTGTAATCCTAAAAATAAACTGAGCCTCACAAGAAGTGTCACAGGCCTACTGCAGTATTTGTATGAGGGCATTTATTACATTATTTTGTATAACCCAACTAAAATAGACCTCTAATCCATCGCTGATTCTAAATTTAGGTAACTGTCATCCGTGAACTTTCTGTGACACATTATCAGAGATGGAAAGTAACAAAAGCCATTTGCTTCCTCTTAACCTGTGACTATCACAGAGGGACGTTCAACATTTTTACTGTACTTATCTTTGTACATTCATCAAATGGATTAATAACTGCTAATTTTAAAGATTATTAGTCCAGCTGTCAACGAAGTTTCCACATCTGTTATTCAAAGGAAAGCAGAGCAGTAAGATTTTTATTTTATTTTTTAACACCTCAGAGTAAAAAAACATCCGTGTTGCTATTGGATCACTCTTACTAACGCATCAGATTTTAAATGGTACTTTTAAAATGATATGTTGTTTTTTCTGGTTTATTTACACTTAGGTAGTTTAAATTGAGCAATTCTTAAGCTTTTTGGGACCAGGAACCACTTACAGGATTGCAGTTTTTGATTTAACCGATGACTTACTCAAGGATTTCTCTATGCTCACAAGCTAGCCAGCTGGCTAATAAGGTAAGCTGCGTAGCAGCACGAGTGGCTGATTGCACCCTGAGATCTACGAATGACTTCATGGCAGAATGACATGACTGGTCACGATGCTGTTGTATCATTGTTTCTAATAGTCCAGTGATAACATGGGAAGAATTAAGTCACATGACATGCTGGTTTTACTGGCATAAATTAATCACACTTTTCATAGTCGCCATGTTGTGAGGGGTGGAGCTGACAGAGGAACTGAGAGACACTGAAATACCATAGGGGTCATGACTTTTCTGTTACATGGGAGGCCTGCCCTAAAACATATTGTATCATTATTATTTTTATTATTGTTAATATTATTATTAGTAGTATTTTGACTCTAATAGGTACCAGAATTTGCTTTAGTAAGACTAGAAACCAGAAACTAAGGAACAGTCAGAGTCAGCTATAGCAAAAAATCTGTTAAACCTAAATGAACTGTATTAGTAGGCCTGGTCTGATAGTTTAATATTTGACGGTTAACCGTATCTTACAAGATCATATTTGATTATAAACTGCATAATTCACTATAAGCATGCTCTCCTATTGTGCCAAAGAGTGGTTCTTTTCACTATTTATCTATTGCTTTGTGGATTCTGATGCATCTTCTTTGGTACCATAAGAACCTGCTTTCTCCTCCTTATTTAATATATTCTGTTCCAAAAACCTTGCTGTATAGTGCCTGATTTTAAGCTTCAATTATTTAAGAATATTGTTTCTTTGACATGTTTGACACATTACTCATTTATCATAAAAAGGTGGAGGGTAAACTGGCCGATTAGAATTTAAAGTGCAGCTGCCTGCTATTTTTAACTAAACGATTTCTCTCTGATGAATTGCAGCTTAGGCTTGCACACAATGAAACAGCTACGTGTTGCTATAAGAGAAAAATCAAACTCAGCTAAATGAAGTGTCTGAATGAGATGCATGCTGTTGAAATGCCACACGGTCATGCACTTCAGTTTGTCCTCCACACCACCTGTTGTGATACTGACCTTGATTGCAGTAAGCCCAAAGTAGTTGTTAAAGAAAATTCAGATTGTTTCAAAGGCACTTTAAAATGTTACATAAAAAAAGAACATGGAAGAAAAGGTAAAGTTTTGCATCTGCTGTGCTTCCACAGAGTGCAGGTCAAGCTGCAGGTCCCTCTGACTCCCTGAGAGGGAGCTGCCACCCGTTAAAGGTGACATGATGTATTTGTACTTTGTCCACTGACACAGAGGGGGCGGAACGGGAGGACTGCTAAAACAGTATAATAGACTTTGAGCCACACAACATTGGACATCTATTCAGGTCTCCTATATTTGCTAATAAGCAGCAAATAGTTAGCAAAACTCACTGAAGCCATATGTCGATATTTTCATATTTAATACTGAAAAGTCTGAAGTTGAAGCCCTCATTATATTTACGTAGTTACATATACTCATGTCTGCATTGCGTCACACTGCTTAACATAACATAGTTTGAAGATTTGAGGAACTATTTTTACTGTCAAAAGAAAAAAGACCCAGATATTTTATCTGTAAAAACATTTTCCATTCTACATGTTGCCAGGTCTGTTTTGGGATGGTCTAAGCCTCCTGCAAATTTGAGCAGCCTGAAGCTCCGTGTCTCAGATTCTAACAACAGCTCACTGGGAGATATATAACAACATGCAGTGCAAACTAGTGACAATATCTCAAAATACAATACAGTTTGTCATTTAAGCAGCAAATGAAAGGAACTGTAGGACAAATATTTTGTTGTTTATTTGACAATCAAACGTGACAATGTAGAAAATTATAGATTATTAAACCGTTCTCCTCCGTCATAGGAACAGTTCAACATGTCAGTTGGTGATTTGCTTGAGCAACACTGTTCTCCAAATGTTATCTCCAATTGGAGATAGAAGGTTTTGGGGACCTGTACAGAGTGTGTCCCACTTCGTGACATGAATGGGTGGATGGATGGTTACTCCTTCTTGCTGGACTCCTGTCCTTCAAAGATGGGGTACTTGCTCTCCACATCAGCCCACTTCAAGGTGTCACTAGCCAGATGTTGTACAATGTCTGGCAACTCTGTGATCTGTGATATATTTTAGTAAATTAGTATCTAAAAAACCAACGAAAAAAAACAAAACAGATATGGCACTTTCAAAAATCAAAACAGTTAACTGGTTTACCTCGGCCCTGATTTGCCTCATCGAGTCACGGTCTCTCAGAGTGGCCGTGTGAGGCGTCTTGTTCACTGTGTCGAAGTCGATGGTGATTCCAAAAGCCACTCCGATCTCATCTGACCGCGCGTAGCGCCTCCCGATGGACCCTGAAGCGTCGTCTACTTTGTAAGACACACCGTTTCTGGTCATAGCCTCAGCTACAAGGAGGAAGATGATGACAAAACCATTAAATTTGCTTAAGTATGAATACACAGCTATTAGCTGGGTGTAACATTAAGACTATAAATAGGAAGAGACTATTGCCAACCTCTAAAACTTGCTAAGTAATACTACATGTATACTCAGTATTCCAAGACCTACCATGACTTATAACCCTGGCAAAGTCACTCAGTAATCTGAAAAAGAGAATGTAAAAGCAGATGCTTTGGCGGTTTGTTGGTCTGGAGCACTCAGGTGTGTAATAACACAATTCCCAGCAAATTCAGCCCAAGGTCAGACCGTGCAACATGCACAGGAATTGCAAATGCCGCTGGAGCTATAGCTGAGACTCTGCAAGCCTTAGCATGTTAAATGTTAAACTTCATAACAATACAGACTAAACAAGTATGACTAGTTTGGAAGGTTTGCCAGGACAAACATATGCTGTGTTCGGTGAAAACAAAACACAGCATATCAGCATGTGCACCTCATAGCAACTGTCATGCACGGTGGTGGAGGGGTGATGATTTTGGCTTGTTTTTAGCTAACAAACCCGGACACCTTGCAGTCACTGAAAATCAAATGTGAGGACATCTGTCTGACAACTAAAGCTCTGCTGAAACTGGACGATGATCCCAAACCAGCAGCAAATCTATAACAGAATGGCTAAAAAGGTAAAGAGTAAAGAATAAAGGTGTTGCAATGGACCAGTCGAAGTCCACACCTCAACCTGATTGAACTGGTGTGGCAGGACATTCAGAGATCCGTGCATAAACAATGCATGAGAACCAAACAGAAAACAATTAGTTAAACTAGTTACTGCTGAAAGCACTGGGAACAGAGATACACCCCATTATTCATGATGGGGTGTATCTCTGTTCCCAGTGATCAACTAAGGGAAATAAGAAAATCCTCTATTGAATATGGCCAGGCTGCAGACAATGTCAGTCTAAAGCTAAGCCAAGCTAAGCTAACTATATCCTGGCTCTAGTGGCTCTAGTATTCAATAGTATTCACCAAATACTATTGAAAAGAGCATTTGAGTATTTAACTGTAACAGCCAACACTCTACTGAAATGGAAAGACTATACTCACCTAACTGGTGGATGAATGGCACAAAGTCCTGGTTCTGGCTCAATGGCAGGATGGAGCATTTGTATGGAGCCACAATGGTAGGAAAGCTGAAATACTGACCACAGAATAAAGCACCTTAAATCAAAACAAAACAAACACGTAACCGTTACTCCGATCTGTTTTCTTGTTGTAGCTTTTCTTACCGTCCTCTGTTCATCCCCCTCCCGGATGTGGAATGAGTGCTCGTAGATCGAGTACATGATTCTGCCGATTCCAAAAGAGGGTTCAATTACATTGGGAATAATCTCCTCCACTGTGACAGGGAAAAACAGAGACATTTGAGGGTTTTTTGTTGTTGTTGTTGTTGTTGTTGTTGTTGTTTTTGCCACCCTTCCACAATAACTTGCCTACTCTTGCATTAAAAAACAGGATTGATGTCACCTCATACCATGCAGGGTTTTCTGGAACCTCTTCACACTGACCATGTCTTTGGTGAGTTTGAAGGTTTTGCCGTCTGTCTCAAAGCTGAACTCCCTACAGACAGAAACACAACATCAAGTCACAAAATGCTTCATAAATGAACTTTATGGTTGTTAAGAGCATGAACGTCATTAATTACCCTGTTTCACTGAGAAGCTTTTCCTGATCGCTGATGTAGCAATCATCACAGACTGCCAGGTACTCCAGAGCCAGCTTGGCATCCTTTTTGTAGGCCATTCCGATGGCACTTTTGTTGGGCTCAAACTGGATGACATTTACTGTTTTGTATGAACTAATTAAGGCATAAAACTTGAAAAAAAAAACATAACAATGGAGAAAGGATGGATAAAGCCACTGAGACATCAGCCACTGGTTGGTAAGACCATGTTTTGAAGCCTTGACTTAAGCATTTTGGCCATCGCCATCTTGTGTTTTTGGAAGAAGACCCGGCTGGGAAACACTCCACATCCTATACATGATTTAGGTCTATTTTACTCTAAATAGGACTGTAATTTACAATATAAACACTACATCTATATCAAACAGGGCTTAAAACTGGCTACTCAGATCATAAACTCATAAAAAAAAGTGTTTACTGAGATCATAAAAGTGTAGTAGGGTTCTTTTCTCAAACTATATTGCCTCTTTTTGTAACCATGAGCCCCCTGCTGGCCAATACAAAGAATGCAGGTTGAAGACAGAGGCTTCATTTTTCAAACCTGTAACCACAGCCTGAGTGATTTTAGCATGAAATCTAACACTCCTCACCCCCACGCAGTCCCAGTAATGACTTGAGCTGGTTCTACTTGAGGTTTCCTGCTGATAAAAGGGGAGTTTTTCCTTCCAAAGGTTACCAACTGTAGGGTCTTTACCTTTTAATATAAAGCTGTTGGTGTGAATTGGTACTCTTTAAATAAAATTTAATTGAAATCAAGGAAAATTGTTCAAAGGCAAAAACCTATATCGTAAATAAATAAAGTTGGATATTTAAAATATTTTATTAATAGGCTATATATCTGACCTGACACATTTAGTGTAATTATAGTCAGGTTGTTGGACTGGGACCACAGAAGGATATGGGCTCTTTTAGCATCTTTTCTGCCACCAGAGGGACTTTGGTAGCTCTGGAGTGACACGAAAGGTCGTAACAGGAGCGATCCGCACAGCCCACAATTTCAATCCAACCCTGAAGAAGAAAAAACACAAAGGTGCAACAAAAATTTAAAACTGGACGCTGTCTTTATAATGCTTTCAATGGTTTTATAAGTCTGTTAGTGGAAAGAAAGAATATTTACATAGGAGGTTTTGGACTCAGCATCCCAGCAGTCACATGCGTAATGAGCCATCTCGTTTTCCATGTGCTGACGGAAGCGCACTTTGTCTTTGGATAGTCCCACTTTGATCAGATACAGGTAGATTCTTCCAATGAAGTAGCCCAGCACAGAGTTGTTGATGACTCCCTGCAGCAGAGAGACAGTGAATATAAAGATGTGTGTCAAATACTGAATTAAATGCCAAACTTGCTTCTAACCATTCATCTTTCATCTATGCTATAGTTTTGGTGCTCTAAGGTTTGTCAGTAAAATGACACCTACCTGCTCCACAGCATCTCCCAGCCTCATCATTTGTGCTGACTGTCCGCTTGTCTGAGCCTGGGAGGAGAACAGCATGATTTCCAGGTCGGCCACATTGGAGAATTTAGGGTGGACCTTCTCATTTGGGTCCACAAAATGCTCGATCTCAGCCATGGTGAACTCCCTGCAAGCAGGAAATGCTGATATTTCACCCAACATCCCTTTTGGAAGGCAGCAATAATTCATTCTAAGCATTACCTAACACGAATGAGTCCAGAGCGAGGAGATATTTCATTCCTGAAGGAGTTTCCGATCTGAGCAGCAGCAAAGGGAAGCTTTCCCTGGTTGAACTCCAACAGACGTTTGAAGTTGAGGAACATTCCCTGAGCTGTTTCAGGTCGCAGGTAGCTGCAAAAATACCAACATGCACAATTTCAACACAGCAAAATAATAAACCTTGAAAGGAATGTTGCAAGTGCAGATATGAGTACCCAGGCATGTTCCCTCCAGGCCCGATGGACGTCTGAAACATGAGGTTGAAGGAGACAGGAGGTGTGAGGTCATTTCCTGTGGCAGGAGACTTGACGTTGTATTTCACAAACAGATCGGCCAGCTCCTGCTGAGTGTAGTTATCCATCTGAAACAGAGGGACCACAAATGCATCACAGGATTATTTCTTCACCAACACAC